GTAAATGTCAGTATTCTCCAATGAATGTCAATATGTATATAGTCACTCGTCAGTGTCCGAAATGTGTGTTAAATATAATTATTTCTCACTTACGCAGACAAATGTTGACATTCGGCATAAAATAAAATTATGTCTATTATGTTAAAACGAAAATGCAACTTTTAAAGGAGTTATATTCTAAAGCATATTATGATATATCTCAAAACAAGCTAAAGCTTAACTTACAGCACATTTAAATAAACTATTGAACCTAAAACCCAAAAACGACTAGTACATTCTAAATCAGAAAAAAAGTAATACCAACAATAAACTTATACATAAATTATGTGATTTACGTTATGTAAGCTTATATATTGCGACACTTTAAACTTCTATAATAATTTGAACAGCCCAACAATAGCTTGCTATTACAACTTAGTCATTTTTGCAATTATAGCGTAAATAGGCCTGCCCTCCATTTCTCGAATTAGAGTCAGTTGCATCATCCAGCAACATTTCTTGAGAAGAAATCACATTTAAGGAAAGTAACTTTTCTTTAAAAAGCACGAACTGGTTAAGAATAGAATGCAAGTATTTTCATTCTCTGATTTATAAAAATCTGAGTCTTCTATTCCGAGTAAAACGCTAACACATTTCTGTCATTTATTATGACCACGGTCGACTTTAGGGACTTGAATTCTTACGGTATCAACTAATTTGAGCAACAGTAAATTTTCTTTTTGAGATCTGTAACATTTTCGTTGCTTAAAGAAGATTTTCTCGAGCGACCGTTCTTTTTTTACAGATACTCTTCATCTAGGGCTTCATATGAAGACGTGGTAGATTGCAGCTGCTCTTCAATTTGTTTCTTTCAGATGGTTTTTGCATGAGCATTACTCACAATTTCTTCAAATGTATTAACCATTTCTTCTAGCTGTTCTTAGGTTCCTACCTGTACCCTCAAGAACATTATTATCCTCCAATACAGCAATCACCATCTTTCTTACCTCACATGGTCCTTTTCCAGAATATCTTAACAGATTTGGTCTCCATCACTCAAACCTATGTATTTGCGGATACCATTGGCACTCTTGATCACTACCTCTTCAACTACGAAATCACAAACGATCTCCACCTCAAGGCGTTTACCACAGCATCAGCACAACTCTGGTTCAGACAAACACTAAAAAGCAACAATATCATAAACTATTTAGCCATCAAACTGTGAAAATTTAAAAGCTCCATAAAAATGATTGAACAAGGAGATTCTTATCTAATTAACAATATTGTTAAACTATAGACTTCTACATATATAGACTTCTGCATATATGGACTTCTACAAGATATGAACTTCTACATATGGACATTCTACGTATAAACATTCTTTCACTCTCTTCAAGGCATGGACTTCTACATATAATTACATGGACTACTATATAGACTTTATATTTTTTATTTTATTACTTTATTAATTTTACCACATATAGACATTATACGTATGGATATTCTACATATGAACATTCTGTAAGATATGGACTTTCACATATGTGGACTTCTACATAGACTTTATATTTTTATTTTAAAAGTTATCTAAGTTATATTATATATTCAACATTTCTAATTACTTATATGTTTTGTACATTAACCAACTGTAACGCAATATGTACACTATATTGTTTTAATAAATGCCGCTGAACTGCAGATGGTGGATAGTACCCATCAACAGAGCAGACAAACTGAAAGTGTAAATGATGGGGAGGTTGCTCTATTGATGGTCTTCTGCTGTTCTTCGGTTTCAATATTTGCGACTTACTCGCCAGACAATGATGACGATCCTATGCCTCTTTTCGGTTATTATCACCAAAAGGGGTTCATAAGGACTTCGGTGTATTCGTTCATGGTTACGTTGCCTTCTTGGATACTTGAAACGAAGGGTAAACCATTCGACATTTTTTGTGTCGCTGTTGTTCATCGTATCGTTATCGTACCGCCAATGTTCATTATCGTTCATCCAAGTAATTAACTTTCTCTGTATATTCTGACCGACTTTTTCAACTGAGCCTTGTGTTTGATTATCACGAGGTTTCCCATGCGCTATCTCAGTAGCTTCAGACATAACGCATAATTCGGATAATCTTACTGAAATGTCAACCATTATTCGAATTAATATATTTGGCACCAAATGTTAAAAATATTTGAAGAATTTGATACGCTACTTCTTGTTACTTCGACTGGCTTTTTTTTTGGTTGCAATTTAGTATATATCATTTCGTTTCCTAAAAATTTATTTAATATCAGTTTGATCCAAATAAAACCTATGAAGCCAACGAGAAGCCCAGAGCAGTATCTTTTTCCTTGATATAATAATTTTGATGTATTGAAGACTTGAGGATCACATGTTTCTGAAACACAAATGGGCACAATCCCATAAAATATTCATAGCAGTCTAAATCATGTATTATTCTGTATACGTGTTAAATTTAAATAAATAAAACAAAGAATTGTGTTATTATTTTCATAAACACTCATCTAACCAATAGGAAATTGGTTCTTAGCATATGCACAAAGGATAAAATTATATGAGAAGAGAAGTCTCGATTTATCAGTTTTGCCTGTATGGCAACTTGCTGTTTTTTATATAGGCAGTAATTATTGCTAGGGTATATAAATTTAACATTTTCTTCTTTCTCTCTCAGAGACGAAAATCATACTGCCTACTTTGCGCTACTGAAGGTACAGTTTACCATTCTGCGGTTGCGATGTTAAGCAATTCTCTCTTCCAAATACGCGAGATATATGTCAGTCGTAAATCTGTAGAGCGATCAGTATTCGTTTGTAGCCATAGCAGTACTTAATGCTAACTGAGCTCGTCGATGGCCCTCAAAATGGCAATTGGCAACAACATATGTCAGAATAAAAATCCGTTACCGATCTCTTATCAAGACGAAACATTTTTGCAAGTATTCAGAAAGTGGTGTCTACAAAAGCGGATTCATGCGTGTGGCAATAGTGAATGCCTTCCCACAAATTTTATGCCTAACTCAAAGCAAACAGTTTGAGAGCTTCAAAAATAGTAACTATTGTTGTCAGATCAGGGGCGAAAACTTCATAAATCGGTTACTCAGCATTTTTTCTCTAGAAAATCATATGAAGTATTTCTCCTAAATAAATATAGAACACGAGTTCATGCATATTATAAATAAAGAATACTATGGAAAACATTTCCTTCTAGAATTTCTTAGCGTCAGTTTGGCGCCCCATGGATGCAGCGTCCGGGGACAGATATCCCCCTTTGCCCTACCCCACTACTGCTTATTTTGCTTCGGTTACTTTTCCTTGACAAAAATTTCAGAATAAGATTTCATGCTTGAAAAGAGCAAAATGTTAGTCTTTCGAAAATTAAAACTAACTGAGGTACTAATTATTTTACTTTGACCCTTTCGCCGTCCTCTCCTGTCCCCGAAAATTTCCCCCAAGCGGCCCTCTGTTTTTCGTAGCGTGTAATGTTGTTTTCTCTGTACATCATAACTTTAGATACATGACTTTCGTAGTGGATGAAGTAATAGGATTTAACAAAATTAATGAAATAAAGCATAATGGAAAAAGAATCTTCTGCTATTGCTACAGCAGGATAAGGGGATACATCGATCCAGGCAGTCCACTCCGCCCATTTGTGGTGAATGTAGATTCAATTAGGGTTTTGACAGTTCCTGGCCGGTTCGAACAGCCTCAGAGGTAAGTAGTACGTAACTCATCACACGTATACCTCTGTCTTCCACTCACAACTCATTGCTCTCGGGGCTGCGAGTAGACGGGAAGCCATCCTCCTGTCGTTTATGGAAAATGGGCGAAATGCCTAAACCCGTTCAATTCAGGAGAAATAGAGCCCATTAGGCGCCCGCGGGTATTAAAACAAACAAAAAGAAAACTCACACAATACTTAAAAGCGGGTTAACGTTTAAAGTTGAAAATGTAGAAGAACGCTTGAGGCGCGTTACGGCCGCCCTGTGGAAGTTTCACTTGAACGCGCTAGACACGTTACGGACGACGAAGAGGTTAAAAATGCTGCTAAAATTTTGCTCATTTCTAGCTAAATTTCAGTTTAAAGAGGCACACATTTTTAGATGGATCTCTCTTTAACAGACTTCGGCCAAAATTTCACCGTCTATATAATAAACTTTGCGTTGCATCTGAAACATAATAGCATCATAATCATAACGCTAACAGACATCAGTCAAAAAAAGAATAAAATATTTTATAGAGCCATAAAATATATCACATTGCAAATCTTAGAATACCTCAATGCTGAATTAATCATTTTTATTGTCAAAAACCGCCAAGTCCCCACTCGACTGATGAGATACTTAAAGAATTTGCTGAACTTATAATTTATGAATAACGAACACATGCATTCTTCGAAACTCCTGTTTTTCCCTTTCTTGTTGCTAATTAATATTCATTGGAACGGGATTAATATTCATGAGGGAGATATAAGTATGAGGATGATACAAAGTGCGGGTGGTTAAATTAGTTTTTCTGCTTTCATTTTTACTTTGCGTGTGGCTTAGTTGTTGAAGTACTACTAACATGGAATCAGAAGAAAACTAAGAAGAAACGAAATGGTGCATACAACACAGATAATACGGCTTAAGCAAAATAATCCGTGAATAATTACGCTTTTGAGTGGTTTTAATACATTATATTAGAAAAAGGTTTTGCCATCTTAGACTCTTTTGTGCTTTTTTCCTAAATTTTAGTGGTCTTGTATGGGTATAGATTAGCAAAGTGTTCAAAGTGCCGATAATGATTTCAGATATAGATTTATGAATAACCACAATTTTTATTCAACACTGAAATTTAAAGCTTATGCCTGTCAAAAACTAGATTTTTCTGTATGGTTTGGTTTATGCGATAATGGCAAAGCTTCGAGGGCTATGTTGCCTAAGGTGAGGGATGCCTTTGTGGGGGACCTTCTAAGAGAAACTAGCTCGTATACATGTTATATATGGTGAAAACCACGGAAACGCCCATGCAGGCAGCCTGTTCCCGGGATTCGCACCTCGGACCGAACTACCAGAGTTCGACGATTTAACCGCTCGGCCACTGGTGGGCTTATTCTTCTGCATGAGAAATAATCATTTACCCTTTATTTCTGAAAACCTAGCAATAAAAATATACTCGTTTCACAATAGGGTACGAAACGTCATTTCGACTAATAAAGAGGAAATGTGGTAATATTTCAAACTCTGAATAAAATGACTCGAAATTACATCAATGCCTCACAGTAGAAATAGCGTCATCAAGAATATAGATGGGATATTGTGAGGGCACAGAACATATGAAGGAGTGTTCTGTTACTTCATATTACTTACAAATGAATAATGGACTGTAAAATTATACTCAGATTATTAATTCTCAAAAGCGAAAATTGTTCCTTTTTTGGCCGCATGTATTGAGAAAGAAGCAAATTCAATTCAAACTGAAAACAAATATAATGGAAGTGAAATCGATAAGCTAATAAAATCGATACTTTTCTTGAACTATATTAAAAATGTGAAATCGAAATTACTCAAAGTTTGAAGGAAATATAGAATATCAGTTATATCAAAATCGGATTTAATCGATTAAATAAATGAGCGGCTGTCGAAAGCTTGCGATATTGCTGGAAGAAAGGCGTTATAAAGATTAAAATAAAACCCACTAGGACAACAGAATTTACAATGAAGAAGACGACAGAGGATGTAGAAATTGATAAAATAACTTTATTCCTTCTTTTAAAGAAAATATTACTCCATGTGAAGTAGTTATAAAAGACAGAATTCCCCACTGCCCACAATACTAGAAAATAGGGGAAAAAATCAGAGGAATAAGTCTTAAATTAATTCTAACAGCATAATTGCGATTTCTGACAGCATAATTGCAAAATCAGAGGAATAAGTCTTAAATTAATTCTAACAGCATAATTGCGACAATTCGTAAAGAACGCGATTCCCAACAAATATACTGCGAAGAAAGTGTGAGTATTCTGTGACATCCTTTATTAAAATAGAAATAGTCAGATAATTGTATTTAGCTAATTCAAGTTCAAGAGAATTACTTTTAAGTTTACATCATAATGACTGTAAGAAATGTGAACAGATCATCTCTAACGTTTTAGTTCAAAATTAAGAAATGAAAATTTCAGATATAGTTCTTAACATAGTGTTATATTCACGAAAATATCTCATTGTTCTAGGAGTATCATTAAAACTATAAAATCATTAAAAAATTCACAGTATAAAACTGAAAAGTTTCGCATTTTAACAGTCGCCCAAAAGGGTTTGCTAAGGTTTTTTTACTCTCTCCCTGGGCCCTCTGTATACTAAGTCTGCTTTTACACCCATACCATCTAACCTATTTTCCCCCTTTTTAGCTTTATTATTAAAGCATTATTTTCTATTACTAATATTTCTATATATTATAATATCTTATAATATTTCTATATCTTTGCACTTATGCCATATACAATTCAACAGCAAAAGTACAAACATTTTTAAAAGTAGGATAGCAGTATATGTTTAAAATTCCCGATGCAGCGTTAACCCTTTGCGGCACAGTGTATCCGATCTGGACACACCTAAAAACGTCCTTCTGTACGCACAGAAAAATTGAATGAAAAAGGATTTATAGGTTACTACTCTGAACCTTCTTTATTATAGTAGATGGCAGCTCAACACAAACCCGTCCATATATTTAGCCATGTTTAGTTTTTTAAGACCCTCAATTTTCAAAGCAACTTCCAGATTTTTTTTAGAGTATAAAAGGAATTGTTTGAAACGAAATTTCTATGTTATTTTTTTGCCTGTATGATAATCTCCTTATTCTATATTAGTTTTAAATTTTTACCTTGAAATCATGCCTAAAATCAAACGGCGAACCTTAGGTGTGCCCAGACCTGGCTCACCGATCATCTAGGAAAACTGAGAGTCTGTATTCTTTGTTTCTTCTCATCTCATGGGTCAGTTCATTGACAACAATGCTCGTTTCAGCATTCTTTTCAAAGCTCTATTCAATCAGAATCAGAGGAGTACACAAGTAACCACAGAGATTACTTGTGTACTCCTCTAGTTCTAATTAGACTGCCTACTTTTTTTTTTTTTTTAATCAAAACCCCGACTTTAAAACGTGTTAAGTTTTGGCATAAATTTTTCTGTTTTTTTTCTTTCCTTTCTTCTCTCAGTCCATCAAATTAATGAGCAGTTTTCTTAATAAGATGGCTTTACCAAACTTTTTTCTTTATTTTATTATTAAAGTTTGGTGTGTTTATTTTATTTATTAAAGATCACTTTTTTTGTGCTTACATAAAATTAATTTCAGCAAAAGATCACAAAATAATTTAAAACAACATTTCAGGTAGGTAGTCTGTATAATAATATAGTCAATTATAGTATATAGTTATAATAATGTACAATAATAGTGCATATTAATGACAAATAATAATCTAAAAATCATAAAATTTCATTAAAGTAGAAATATTTTCCATTCTTAATTAATGCATATAATATTACGAGTTGGATACGTACCAGTAGTAAACCTGCCAGTGTTTTTTCTAAAGCATGAAGTCTATAAGTTTATCTAAAGATCTCCTTAAAGAAAACATAAAAATTTAAAAAACATTGAGGGCTTTCAGGTTTTATATTACGTCCAAAGGGGAGTTTTTTTCGTTTACACACACATAGACGTTTCGAGAACATTTTCACTAACGCCTCTTTGGGCCAAAACTATTTAAAAACAACATCATTAGAATTTCCTACAGTCTCGAGTGCAGACGATATTTTTTTTTCTGCACCGTGTTGCCAAAGTTCGCTTTGAAACCATTCAGTTCGTTAATCAAAAATTTGTTAAACTTTTCGAAAATATGGAATAGATAACAAAACAAATTCTAAATTAAAAATTCGGGTCCATGTTCGGGTGGAGGACTGCGTTATTCAAAATTTGATGGCTATAGGTACCGAGATACTTTTTTTTTCATAATTTTTCACAGTTTTACGCACTGATTTTTCACAGTGCGAAAAACATGCATATATTCAAGCATATTCCTCATTATTTAATTTCTTTAAATATTATATAGGGCGATCATAATTGATGGCAATAATTTGAAAACTGATACGCCATTTATAGTGATTCAACGCAAAATGCCGTTTCTAGACTAATACCCGATTCCAGTCGCTTTTGGACTCAAAAACTTAAACTTTGGAGCAAGCAAATGTTTTATGCATTTTAATGAAGCCACGTTTATAAGAAGCCAGTTGTAGAGACATTAAGCACTTTTTGAAAGCTGGAGAGGCGAAAAATGAACAAGCCCTCGCCGGGACTCGAACCGCGGACCTCTCGAATACGCGCCGAGTGTGCTGACCACTACACCACGAAGGCATGCTAAGAAAATGGGGAAAAATACCTTATATACTCCCTTATATGCTTTAAAGGGCGACTGGGATTAAGGGATCCAATCGCCAATTCCTCGTGGTGGAAATTATCCACCATATTTAGTTCGGGCGCCACTGTAGAGATATTAGGATTTTTGATGCTGAGAGACCTGAAACGGGTTTCGAACCACCGGCTTCTCGAATACGCGCCGACTGTCTATATTTTATTCATTGTATATTATTGGGCTGCCCAAACACACTGTACTTTAGCTTATGTATATTCTATATTTGTGTGTATTACACCTTTGTAAAATTTTGCTTATTGTCCAA